ATTCCTGCTTATGACTATGCAACTTGCTGTACCTCTCAGCAGGTGGAGATACATCCATGTCCTGCAATCAGGTTTAGCCTCAGAATTTGTGTTGACTGAGAGGATGTGACATCTGGCTTGTCTGGACAGAAGTTTTTGAGTGATTGTGTTTCAATTCTGCCTCTTGCTGTTTCCCTCTGCCATGAGAACACTTTGTCCTTCAGAGACCTGGAAGCAGGGCACTGCAGCAGACCTACTTCTGCTGATGGAGAAATAAACATTTGCTCTTGAAAGGCAAGCCACTGAGATCCTGGAGTTATTACTGCAGCCAAGCTGACCAATACAGTCAATATTGGCCAATTTGGAATAGATCAGTTTGAAATCTATAGGTTAAAATCAATTCCCAGTGAACTCCAGGAAGAAAAGTAAGTCCTAAACTGTCATTTTTTTCTGAATATTAGTTTTAGTCTTATGAGACTGACTCTTGGTAAACTACCTAGATTATGTCCTTAGGGAGTTTCAGTCCCTTTTAAGTGATTTTCATGAGTGTAGACCCAAAAGAAGCCTTTCAGGGAATTGTATTAAAATGGGCCCAAATGATAACTGGACTAATTTTTTTCTAATGCCCAAGGATTGCAGTAGGTAAGGAGCACCTGCCACAGGATGGGGTCTGTCCTGGACCTATTTCTGACGCAAGGTCCATATTCCTGTAAGGCTGGGAAGAGCTTAAGCATTAATCTATGGCTTTGTGTATGTAGTTCTGTTGTTTTGTGTATGTTTGGATTTATAGTTCGGAGCACAAGTCCATGAAGATTGATATTTAAAACTGCTTTCCTTCAAATTGAACATTCTCTGAATTATCTTTAGTTCAGGATGTCAAGATATTGTCCTTTTTCAAAGTGTAAGTAACGTCCCATCTAATTTTAAAGAGGAGCATTTTAAAGGGCCTTTCTCTTAAGCATTATTAGATAAGAATTCAGTTCAGTAACACACAGCATAATGACATTCCAGTCAACAACAGGCCACATTTAAAACAGTGGTCCCAAAAGATACTAATGGAGCTGAAAAATTCCTATCACCTCCTGATGTCATAGCCATCATAACTTTGTAAGTGCGATGCATTACTCACGTTTGCGGTGATGCTGGTGTAAACAAATGTACTGTGATGCCAGTGGCATAAAAGTATAGCACATCCAACTATGTACAGTACATAATACTTGAAAATAAACAACTGTTAGTGGCTTATGTGCTTGCTGTACTATACTTTTGATTGTTATTTTATATTGTACTCCTTCTACTTACTAAAAAAAAGTTAACTGTCAACAGCCTCAGGCAGATCCTTCAGGAGGTATTCCAGAAGGTGCTGCTGTCATAGGAGATGACGGCTCCACGTGTGCTGTTGTCCCAGAAGACCTTCCAGTGGGACAAGATGTGGGGGTGGAAGACAGTGATACTGATGATCCTAATGCTGTGCAGACCTAGGCTAGTGTCTGTTTGTGTCTCAGTCTTTAACAAAAAAGTTTAAAAACTAAATTTAAAAAATTAAAAATAGAAAGCATATAAAGATATAAAGAAAATATTTTTGCACAGCTGTACGTGTTTGAAGCTAAGTGTTATTACAAGAGTCAAAAAGTTAAAAAAATAAGAAGTTCATAAATAAAAAGGTTAATTTATGATTGAAGAATTTGTAAATAAATTTAGTGCAATTTAAATGTACAGTGTTATAAAGTTGACAGCAGTGTACAATAATGTCGTAGGCCTTCACATTCACTCACCGCTCACTGACTCACCCAGAGCAACTTCCAGTCTTACAAACTCCATTCATAAGTGCTTAGATTCACAAATACTTGCCATTGTATTACAACTGCCTACAGTATTCAGTACCATAACATGCTGTACAGGTTTGTAGCTTGGGAGCAGGAGGCCATACTCTATACAGCCTAGTTGTGTAGTAGGCTGTACCATCTAAGTGTGTTTAACTGTACACTGTAATGTTTGCACAGTGACAAAATCACCTAAGGACTTTTCTCAGAATGTATCCCCTTTGTTAAGTGACGCATGACTGTATTTACTAACACAGTCATTTTGGAAGGTATCTTGCCAAGCCCGGTCAGCAAATGTTATGGTACTTGTTTGTGAGTAAACCATTCATACTTGCTTAAGATTTAACTAGTCATAAATGCATCAGCAGATCTTCTCCCTCTATATGTCTATATTTTTAAACCTTCCCAGCCTAATTTCCCAAAGGATTACATTGACCTTGAGTGCTCTGATGGTAAGGCTCTCCCTTTCTTGAACTAACAGTGTCCTAATACTGTTGGCATTTATGGTAACAAACTTCAGTGCAGTCATATTTTGGCTGCAAAAACCCTTTCTTGTGTGTGCTCCCTTGTTCCTTCTCCTCTAACCCAGCACTTCCTCTTTAGCATTAGAGCTATTGGTGTATAAGTTAAGAAGAGTAGGAACTGCACCCCAGCACCTCCCTTGGATCCCTCTTTCTGTCTTTCTTCAGAGCTTTCAGCCCTTTAAAGGCAGAGGAAAGCAAAGCCGGAGCGGAGGAGCACTCATGGCCAGCCAGGGACTGATGATGGACTGCAGCTGGCCAAGGAAAACAGAACAAGCCACAGGTGTCTGCATCCAGCCAGCTGGGTCAGGGCATTACAGGAAGTGCAAGGGAGGGAGGGAAGCCCCTGCAGCAGCTTCCTGCTTGATGCTTACTAGAGCTGGGCCTGTCCCTCCTCCCAAAGACCAGCCTATCCTTGACCTTAACTTAGTTAAGTTGCAACATAGAAGGGATTTTTTTTTGTTAATCATCAGTTCGAGGGTCAAAAAAACATGTACTAAGAGACTAACTTCTCTGAGCTTGTCCATATGAAGGAAAACATGGCCAGTAACCAAGAATTTAGGTCTCAGGTGAACTGGATGAGGAATATCTTCATCTCAAAGGCTAGATGTTGTCAGTTTTCTATCCAAGGGAACAACTTCAAAAAATACAGCTAATTGTCAAATGGCTAAAACAAACAGCTTTTAGTGCTGAATTTTAAAGTAAAACAAAACTTGATTTTCTTTGAAGGGGAATAAAAGGGCTAAAATGTTATTAAATGCTTATATACACATTGCTAAGAATGTAATGATCTCCCACCCCCATGCCTTTAAATTAGAGCAGTTCTTGATCTTTAGAGTATATCAGAATCACGTGAGTGCTTGTTAAAACTCAAATTTCTGGGTCTCACCCCCGGAATTTCCTCATTAGCATTTGAGCTATTGGCTAAAAACACTGCTGTCTAAATTAAGAGGGTGAACTTTACCCCTAGCACCTCCCCTGGATCCCTTGATTTAGTACTTCGAAACGGGGCTTGATAATTTGCATTTCTTTCTTATTCATTTATTTTTTAATTTGAGATGGAGTCTGGCTCTGTCACCAGGCTGGAGTTTAGTGACGTGATCTCAGCTCACTGCAACCTCTGCCTCCCAGGTTCAAGCAATTCTCCCACTTCAGACTCGGAATAGCTGGGACTACAGGCGCGCCTCACCATGCCCAGCTAATTTTTGTATTCTTTTAGTAGAGATGGGGTTTCACCATGTTGGCCAGGATGGTTTTGATCTCTTGACTTCATGATCTGCCTGCCTTGGCCTGCCTCCCAAAGTGCTAGGATTACAGGCATGAGCCATTGCACCCAGCCAATAATTTGTATTTCTAACCAGTTCCAGGGTGCTGCCCTTTCTTTGCCTGGGAACAACACTTTGAGAACTACTGGGCTAGGTAATCATCTTTGAAGATGGGTAGATAAAAGAGTTCCTCTTTATTCAGTATTGTAGTAGGCATTATGCGAAGGCGATGCTAGGAGTTTGCAGATGTTGGTGATTAGGGAATTAAGGGAACCTCAGTGTTGAAGGGATTGGGGATGGTGGGAGGATCAAGAGTGTGGGAGACATAAGAAGGAAATGGGAGTGAAGAGCAGGCTGAGGAATTCAAGTGAGAGGGAGAAACCCAGCCTGACACAGATCTCACTGCCATGTGCAGGGATTGCTTTATTGAGTTTGATTGTCGAGGTGGTGACAAGAGCTGTACCTAAAACAGATGGATAAGGCACTGAAAGTTTTATTGTACTTTTTTCTATTTTAAATAGCAGAAATGGACAAGTTCTTTGTACTTTCATAATGGCATTCGTTTTCTTTGACCGTGTGTATTAATTGCCAGATGAGGAACTCTTTCTTTTGGACAAATAAGATCATAAAGATAAGCTGTGACAATTAAATGGCCACATCTATTTTATCAGTATGGTAGGAAGCTAAGTTGGACATAATAAGATGTACATAGACTCTTTTTCTTCAGAGTACAAAGAGATGACTTTTGATATCTAAGGTTATGTGGAAACATCAAGACAGAAAATGAGGCAACTGTATTCTTAAAAATCAAAATTCTGTTTACATTTCATTGGTTGTAACTATTCAATATATTATTTTGATTTTAAAAATTCAAAGCTTGCCATATATAGGTGGATAGTATTCAGTTATGAAATCACTAGGATTCACCTCTCCACCTATGGTTGTTAGCAAAAGAATGCCCAAGTCTGTTTTAAAAGCCTACTGAAAAAAAAAAACATTTTAATGAAATAACAGCAAATAGGAATTGTGATTCCTCTTTCTACAAAATGTAAATTTTAAAATTTCCCAAATACCTCTATGACAGCAATATTCAGGAAATAATATTTTATAGTAAACATTTTTAATAAACAGCAGCATAAAAAAATCAGTGTTTAATATCATCTCTGGTGTGTGTAAAATACAAATGCATATATTCTTAATATAAAATAGCCTTTTTGTCATTACAATTCAATGCTTCTCTATTTGAAATGCCCACAATAACAAATCAAACAATAAGTAATACAGTGATTAAATGCATGCAGTGAAAATAAGGAAAGATGTGGTAGGTGAGATATCTGAAAATTGCCATTATATATTTGAAGAAAAGCTATATCAAGTTAAAAACAAAGGAAACAAGAACAACAGACCAGATATAAAAGGGCAAAGATATATTTTCACTTCTGTGACACAAACCATAAGCATAGTTTTGTGCAAAAAAAAAGAGAAAAAGATCTGAAAATAAAGTCATCTTACAAAACATTGTCAACAAAGGAAAAGATATTTTTCAGTTTGTGAAAAAAATACTATTTTAATACAAAAGAGACTGTGTTATATAGTATCACAGTGCGATTATAAAATACATTATTACAAGTGGTTTTGAAATTTCATTTGCTCACCTTAATGTTTTCAGTTATTATAAAATGTTTAAAATAAATGTTATAGTTCTTTATAAAAAACTAACTTGAATTTACTTTTTAACCATAATAATGTTTTACCAGAGTAGGTATTTTACTGGCTCATGGAATGCTAATTTCCCTTTAAGGGACTCCTAGAAAAACTCAGATTCACTGAAATGGTGTTCTTAAAATAATAAATATTCTTGGAAAAAAACTGATTGTCATATGATATACAAAATTGTGGTTTGAAGTTTCATCATTAAACAGTTGCATAGCAACAAAAGGATACAAATATTCTCCTCTACCTAAAGTTAAGAAATGTAACTTCTGAATCAGCTTATTTATGCCACAAAAATATGTCTTAATTTATCTCCAGAAATCTGAATATAGCCAATTCTTTGAGTTCACAGTACCTGTAAGTTCATGTTTGTTATCTGAAGACTCAGGTTTGGGAAAATTGCAATGCATTTTGGTAAACACATTTTCTTGATTTCTCATGTTAGTTGTATTAAAAAATGTAATCCCAGCACTTTGGGAGGCTGAGGCGGGTGGATCATGAGGTCAAGAGATTGAGACCATCCTGGTCAACATAGTGAAACCCCGTCTCTACTAAAAATGCAAAAATTAGCTGGGCATGGTGGTGCATGCCTGTAGTCCCAGCTACTCAAGAGGCTGAGGCAGGAGAATTGCCTGAACCCAGGAGGCAGAGGTTGCGGTGAGCCGAGATCACGCCATTGCACTCCAGCCTGGGTAACAAGAGTGAAACTCCGTCTCAAAAAAAAAATGAACACATCAATGTGTTTTTAATTATCTTATATTCTCCTCATCAAATATCATTTCCAGGAATTACTTTTATATCCTGTAAGTCTCTTTACAAGTCTCCTATACCTTTAAAATAAAATGAAACTTTGAGACATTGTTCTTAGAATAAAGAAATTTTTTTTTTTAACAAGAGAAAAATCAAAAATAAAATTACTTCTATAAAGAACTTGAAACCCTTAAGAATTCTAAACTTGGCAAAGATGGTTGGCAGGTAAATACCACAAGATGCACCTGTGAAACATCCCACTAAGGCAAAAATGGTCATGTTGTTTCTGTTTACTAGTTAAAGAATTCAGTTCTTGGTAACTTTTGAAATAAGAACTCAGTGCTTGTTTTGTAGGAAGACCATATTTTGTAAAACAGAATTTATTGCCTTTGGATTCCAACTAACTGTATGAATAAACTGTTATAATTCTTGGGGCTGGAATAAAATCTGTGAACATTTCCAGCACAGAAAAAAAGGGAGAGAAACTAGAATTACTAGACATTGGTGTCATCATGGAGTTTCCTACTTCCCGAGAGTCCGTTGACCATAAGCACCTCATGCTTCGGACAACTTGTAAACGGAGTTGCAAGGGGTGACTGTGCTCATCTGTAGCCACACACTTCTTTTTCAGTGTTACTGCTTCCAGAAAACTCCTTTGGGGGCTGTCCCCATGGGATCCCACAGTTGCTGATCTAGGCTGTGGGGCCATTTTCCTGCCTGTGCTTCCTTTGGCGCCTCATTCCTAATCCAGCAAAGTGAGCTATCAACCAACAATCAATTCTAGCATCCACATCTAGCCTTCTCATGGTTTGATGCCCTGTGTTATTCCAAGGGCTATGTAAATATGCTGTGAGAAACTGTGGGAAAGACCCTCATGATCACAGGAGGATTCACAAAAAGGCACACTCTACATCTTCCCAAAGAAGCCCAATGACATAGAAGGCTTCAGGGTTCCTTATACTTGTGTTATGGCTCATTTCCCTCCAGGGTTTCAAATTTGGCCTGAAGCTTCTTCATTGATTCTGAACATCATTTCCATAAGAACATGCACAGAGTCTTAACTGAATCAATATAATTCCTGAATATCTGTCCTGAAGAAAAGACAGCAGGTAGACAAATGCTATGGTATATATACATTTGGGGGAGAGACCAGTCGTGGTGACTGAAGGCTAAAACATAAAGCACCATTTGACTTTTGGTTTTACATTTAATCACAAGGTTCTTTTCCTCTTCACTGGTTTGCAGTTTTCAGTACTTGAAACCACATGTTCCAGTCCCAATGCCATGTAATGCACTCCAATGGAGTGCATATCCCACAATATTTTCACTTTTTTTTGTTTTCTGGCTAGTGTCTGTCCTGCTTGGTAAGACACAGTCAAACTTCACAGAAGATACTTGTTGTGATGTCTGCTAAATGAGAACCTTACTTTAATAAAAACATTTGAATATAAATCTTTTCTACGGCTGTCTAGTTTGTCCTGTATACCACATTTACATCTTACAGTTCTGCAGAAATAATAGATTCGGTGTGCCCATGAATATTGGAGTCTCCTAGCAAAGATGGTTGCTTTGAGTCAATTTTGTAAGGTTTTTGAGATTTGTTGCCAAAAACGGTGATACCCATTCCACCAGGATGATTTGGAATCGACATGTGTGGTAGTAAAGGAATATTTGCTTCCTGATTAGATCCTGATGAGGGCAAGCTAGTCACATGGCCAGTGCTAGTCGACCCACTGGCACTGCTTGGGGACCGACTCTTGGGAGGCGGGCAGTGCTGAATCACTCTGGGAGGACCTGCTGGCTGATAGTGGGCAGCTGGAAACGCTGCATATCCAGGAGGTATTGGGTATCCATTGATGGGAATGAATCGCTGGTTCTGAGGTATTGGCGGGCCGATGAAGCCAGCAATCTGGCCCTGTGGTGTAATACCCTGGCTTGGAAACATGTAATTAGGATATCTGGGGTTACTGAGATTACTCACTGGGCTGGCACTGAGGGAGGTTGTCTGTGTGGTGGCATTTCCCCCAGAAGGAGTAGTAGAGCTGGTGTGACTTGAGAGTCCCTCCCAAGACCGAAGCCGGACGTGAATATCTTTAAATCTTGGTCTCCTGGAAGGAATCTCATTCCAGCACTCTGTCATGAGGCTGTACATTCTGGGTGGGCAGTCTTCAGAGCATGGTAAGAGCTGCCGTTTTCTCACCATCTCAATCACTTCCTGGTTACTGAATCCATAATATGGCTGGAGTCCAAAACTGAAAATCTCCCACAAGACAACCCCAAAGGACCAGATATCTGAATCAGAAGAGAATTTACCATACATGATGGCTTCAGGGGGCATCCAGCGAATGGGCAGCAAGGACTTACTCTGGACCCTATAGTAATCAGCGGAGTAAATTTCTCTGGAAAGCCCCAAGTCTGAAATCTTTACATGAAGCTGCTCTCCGATTAAAATATTGCGAGCTGCAAGGTCCTTGTGCACAAAGAAGTGACTAGACAGGTATTCCATGCCGGCTGCAATCTGAATTGCAATGTGCAGAAAATCTCCATGGTCCAGGCTGGACTTCACAGTCCCGTCTTCATCACTGCTGCAGCCAACGTCAGAGTGTGGGGATCGCATGATGAGGAACTCATGGAGATCTCCCTGATTCATATACTCAAAAAGCATGCACACAGGTTGTTCCTGAGTGACAGCACCTAGAAGGCAGACGATATTAGGGTGGTGCAGTTCTGCCATTAGGGAGGCTTCTTGTTGAAATTCTGTCCATTGCTGGGGATTGTTATAGTCTTTCAAGGTCTTGATAGCAACCAGCTGAGCATGGTCCATGCCTGGGAGATAGAGATGGCCTTTATAGATTTTTCCAAAGGCACACTCACCCAGTTCTTCCATAAAACGTACAGCAGAAAGAGGCAGCTCTTTAGCTTTGCTCTGTATGAAAGAGAGGAATAAGGTGGTTTAAAACATTTCTTCAAGCAAGACAGCTTCACATCGGAAAGGAGGGATGGGGCATATAGAAAAAGGTTCTATAAACAAATTAAATAAAATACTGTAGGTCTATATATCCTTCAAATTGCTGGCTGCAACTCAGAGGAGGTGCCATAGGCAACTTTCCATCACTCCCCTATCCCTTTCTCTCAACTCAGCCCCAGAATGGTTTCTTGCTGCTGCCTAGAGTCTTGATACTCAAACTGTGGTCTGAGGACCAGCACCATCAGCATCACCCAAACTTACTGCAAATGCAGACTCTTGGGTCCATCTCAGGCCTACTGAATCAGCATGTGCATTTAACAAGACCCCTGTGATTTCTGTGAAGATGAGGGTGTCAGAAGCACCACTGCAGAGGCTACAGCCTGGTACTTAGAGCATTTGTAATCTGGTCCGAACTTGCTTTCCTGACATGATCTCTTGCTACTTCTCTATGCGATAGCATCACTTTAGTTAAATAGGTTTACTCAATGTCCACTCCTGAAACCATTTATATTCTTGCCCAGTACTTTTGTTCCTCCAATATTCTGTCATTCTTAGAATATTTATTGTGCTAAAAGTCAGAGAAACCAAAACAAAAGATTGTCCTTCTAAAGTACTCACTATAGAGATGGGAAGGTCTAAAATCCTTTCTTTTCTAAAAAGCCTGTTTCAGGCCCCACTTCCCCTGAAACCTTGCCTGACCACTGTGGTCATTTCTTTGCTAGACTCTTTTGCCTTTACTGTGAATGCCACCACAGACACAAAGCAGTGTGGTGGCTGATTACACACATAGCCTCTATAGTCAGACGGTCTGAATTGGAATCCTGCCTTCTCCACTTACCAGCTGTGTGACCCCGGATACAGCATTTACCTTTGTGCCTCAATTCCTTCATCTATAAAATGGGATAATAATAATTGTACTTACCATGTTATTGCAAATTTTTAATGAGTTAATATTTGTAAAGTACTCAGACCTAAGAGTTAATCTTTATAAAGTACTCAGACCTACATCTGGTCCATGCTAAGTTTGATTTAACTTTTTGTTATTATTATCAACGTGATGTTTCTGTTCTTTTTATGCATGCATTTTGTCCTCACAACCAGATTTCAACAGAAATCTTATTGGAAGCACTGCCTTTCATACCAATATATATTCCGAGGGCTAAGCAAGTAGGTTATTTATTACTTGACCTTAATACAGACAGGTAAAGGCATCTAGCTTGTAAGGAAAATAAGTATTGAATCATGACATGTGATCTTGGCAAGCAAATGTCTATAATGTCATATGTTTTTACTATTTTTAAATTTACCTCAAATTTAGTCTGATATTTCATTTGTTAGAAAGTAATAAAAACAATGCATTTTATATAAAACTGATTTTTCAAATAATCCCCATCCTTCAAATTCTTATTTTGTTTTAAAAGAATACTACCCTGAAAATTCTAATTGAAACTGACAATGTTGAAATATACATGAAATCCAGAGTTCTCTGTACAGAGTTTAAAACAACAGTTTAGAAAATTTGGTAAAAAAAATAATTCTCTTATCCAAACTCTACTAATTTAGAATTCATGATGATTAGATTTGTTCTAGGCTGATATATTTTCCAGGGCAAAATGCCCACTAACCTAATTGTAAGTGTAAATAAACTTGCAGCAAAATACCCACTTAAAAGGACACATTTTGATGGGGATTTTGGAACATTAATTCTTCTATGCAAATAATCTGTCTCATTATAAATTGGTCTTATTTGTTCATCAAAGCAGATTTTTCTGAGGTCTATATTTGGAAATGCATTTTAGAAAATTTACTTGTGCTAAAAGTAATGGTAATTTGTTGCTTTAAACTTTCAGTAAATTAAAGCTTATTGATCTAGTTCTATTCAATATAATATTGTTTGTAATAGCAAAAGATTATAAATGACCTACATGTCCCCATAGAGAACACATTAAATCAATTATGATGGAGCTAGTAAACAGAATATTTTACATTTGTAAAAAAGAATGAGGATGTTTTCTATGTACTGGTATGGAAAGGTCTGCAAAATCCTTTTGCTCAGCTAAAAATAAAAAGCAACAACAGTTAATGCTGGGTGCTGCTTTTGTGTAAGAGAGGAGAAAAAGAACACGTGAAATATATTTCTTTGTATAAATGTAAAGAAACTATGAAAGGATACTTGGGAAACAGAGAGCAGTGAATATTGGGGGTATGGAAGTAGAAACTAGGAAAAGGGGGGCAGAGGTAAGTGATTTTATACTTCATGCTTCTTTATGCTTTAAAATTTTTGAACCAAGTGAATATATTACCAATGCTCAAAATTAAATAATTAAATATTTTAAAAAACAGGCGAATCTTCCCATCTCGCTGAATTAGAAAATATCTTTTGCAATTACAAGTCCATCCACCATTCTTCCTTTTGCTTTCAGGGTCTATATTCTCATGGGAGCTAGTAGAACTCCTTTGAGAGGGCAAGGTGTGAGTGATGAGAAAGGTAACCGGTTGAACCAATACTCCTTTTTTGTCTTGTAGTACTCGGATGATTTTACTCCTGCTGGCAAGAGTAACCCAAGGTGAATTTTTCCTGCATGCTGTTAAGACTGGGGAGTTCCATCAGAACTTTTCCTAATGATGTAAATAAATCCCTTTTAGGTGAAGGTCCCTTGAATGACATAGTAGATATCACTTACTTTTTGACCTAAACAAGACCTCTAGGCTCTTGGAGATAGAGGTTAAGGGACTGAGTACTAAAACTTCTTTGTGGAAAACGGGAATTAGGAAGCAAACTCATGGAATATTAGACTGGTATAATGAGGAGTTACAAACTCAGTATCCTCTCCTCCCTCACTGCTTGAAACGAATCCATAGGCAGTATGGTATAATTCAAACCAAATGAACTTTGGAGTCCTATAAATTTGGGTTTACATTTAAAATCCACTGCTTTCTATTAATAATAGTTAATACTTACATAGAACTTTGTGCCAGATACTGTTCTAAGCACTTAGCAAATATTAGCTTATTTAACACCACGATCCTGTGGGATAGGTCTTATATATTAATCACTGACGTTGGGTGAATTTCTTAACTTTTCTGAACCTGTTTCCATATCTATGAAATAATATACTATCTTGCACTGTTGCAGTAGGGATTAAATACAATGATACATGAAAGTAATTCCTACCTAATAAGTGCTCTTTAAATCATTCTTATTATCCTTATTAGGAAAGTCATCCAGGAAGTAAAGTAATGCAAATGATTTAGATCCATTTAAGCCTTAAGTAGTTCCAGAGTGTTTAAATTTCTTCTTGTTAATCTTTCTCTGTTCTCCTGTAGTTGTTAGTTAAAAAAAAAAAATCATCCTTTAAAAATGACAGATCAATTTGTTTTGGAGCTTGAGGGTGGGTGAGAAGTTGAGTGGCCTGTGGCTGGTTCCTCTGAGATGTGAATGAAGGTGGAGGCAACAAGAACTCATGTGGAACAGTGGATGGTAGCAGATGGAAAAAGGAAGCAAGCCAGCCAAACTTCTGGAGGTGGGAAAAGAGGAAGAGGTGGACAGGACCTTGGCACCAGCACTACACAATGGCCTTGGGGATTCATGGCTAAGAAGGCTAGCTGCATTCCCCTCCACTGAGGTAAGCAAATGTGTTCTTATATATTTGCCTTTGGAAAAAGAACTCTTACTGTTGCCATTTTACAGATGGAGAAAGGGGCTAAAGAAAGCATCAACAATGTTTAGGAGAGCAGAAAGAGCCACTTGCAACTCCAAGGCTCTCTGTGTGGGGCCACAGCATTCTGTTTGAAACCAGAGAAGCCTGTTGGCCAGCAATCCCAGCTTGAAGCCGAATGTCTCTGGAGGCTCAGCCTGAGGCCTGCCACCTTGCAGGGCTAGGGGGTTGGCCTTCAGTATGAGGTCACTCTATAGAATTATAATTGTTTTTTCTCCCTGTTCACACATGAAAGAAAGTAGATTTTACCCCAAAGTATATCTTGTCCTATCTCACCAATACCCAGTGGGCCATATAGCATATAATCCCAAGTCTTCTCCAAGGAATTATTTACTAGAGCCACTGAAAACTAAATTTGGGGGGTTTGCTTTGCAAAGAAGCATGGAAAGCATCTAAAATGGCAGAGTCCACAAAACTCTTCCCTTCAGACACCTGTGCAGCCTAGCAAAGAAGTACCCAGAAAAAAATGCTCCTAGCTCGGTTTCAGGGGAACAATTTCCACAGTGATTTGCATTTTTAAGGTGCTCAAGTTACTTGGTACAAATGAGTCCAAACTATAGACTCATTTTCAAATTTTACATAAATCCTGAACTAGTTAAAAAATCATAAAAACCCTTAAAGAAGCAGTCAGTAGACTGTACAGTGACGGCAGGAAATTAGCTGTATTGTTGAGGAACAGATGGTTTACATTATACAAACCCTTTAGGCTAAACTTGTTTAGGTCTGGCATATTGTAAATTATATTTTAGTAATGAAAGTGAAATGACCTCTGCTTGACCTCAAGTGGGGTTTGTCTGTTTGAACGAATGTAGTGGAAAACTATGAAAGAAAATGAAGTCATAAAGTTTTGGCAGTTCAATTTTGGCTCATTTCAAGTTAAGGGGTTATAAATCTGTTTAGTTTTTGTTTGACAAGTATTTGTCATACAGGGATGTACAAAATGTAAAGAAGTGTAAAATACACATGAGGCATGGTGCCAAAGTAAACCAAGTACAAAGGAAAACTGGAATGAATGGGGTCCTGGGCTCCTATCTCTTTATCACTCCCTCCATTAGTTGAAGGACAAGATGGCCTCGGTTTATTATATGCTGTAAGGCAATTAAGTACCTTAAAACTGAAACAGGCTTTCAGTTTCAATGTTAACATTTTTACTTCTCAAAGTAAACACATATCTGCCTTTAAAAAATTATATAAAATTATTATATAAAATAAAAGTTGATACATTGTTCCAAGATGCTT